TTTTTCAACGTTTATTTATTTTTGGGACAGAGAGAGACAGAGCATGAACGGGGGAGGGGCAGAGAGAGAGGGAGACACAGAATTGGAAACAGGCTCCAGGCTCTGAGCCATCAGCCCAGAGCCCGACGCGGGGCTCGAACTCACGGACTGCGAGGTCGTAACCTGGCTGAAGTCGGTCGCTTAACCGATTGTGCCACCCAGGCGCCCCTGGAGTTATGTTTCAATAAACCCACTGTAAATTGGAAATTTTGTAAGTTAAACATGCATTGACTACACCTAACCAACCAAACATTAGAGTTTAGCCTAGCCTATACTAAACATGCTCAGAACAGCCTGTAGTTGGGCAAAATCATCTTAAGCCTCTTTCATAACCAAATACTGAATATCACACGTAATTTATTGAATAGTGTACTGAAAATGAAAAATAGGCTGGTTGTATGGGCACAATGGTTATAAGTGTATTGGTCGTTTACCCTCATGATTGCATGGCTAACTGGGAACTGTGGCTTACTGTCGCTGATCGGCACATAGTTGCATATTGCTATCCCAGGAAAAGATCAAAATCTAAAATGTGAAGAATGGTTTCTACTGGTGGAGTATCACTTTTGCACCACTGTAAAATAAAAAAATCGGAAGTCGAACCATTGTAAAGTAGGGACTGGCTACAGTTGAATAATGGTTTTTTAAAATCTGTTCTGCTAGTTTCTGCCTTTTGATTGCAGAATTTAATTCATTTACATTTAAAGCTGTTACTGAATAAGCACTTCTGCCATTTTACTGTTTGTTTCCTATAAGTCCTATCTCTCTTATTCTTCAGTGCCTCCATTACTGTCTTTTTTAAAAATTTAATTGATTGTTTTGTCTAGTGTGTTTTTTTGATTCTTTTCTCATTTCCCTTTCTCTCTCTCTCTCTCTCTCTCTCTATATATATATATAGATGTATGTATATATGTATACATATATGTTCTCTCTCTATATATATATATATGTATGTATATATATATATATATACATATTTTTTTTCCCTGAGTAGTTGCTCTGAGGATTACAATTAACACCTTAAATTTATAACAATCTTGTTTGAATTAATACCAACTTCCATACTATGCAGAAACTCTGCTCCTGAAACAGCTCTGTCCCTTCCTCTTTGGTATTGTCACACCCTACAGCTTTATACATTGTATGCCCATTAATGTAGATTTATACTTACTTTACACGTTTGAGTTTTAAACCATATATAGAAAAAAAGGGAGTTGCGAGTCAAAAATATAATAATTTTAACTTTTATATGTACTTGTGTAGCTACCTTTAACAGAGTTCTTTTCTTTGTATGGCTTTGAGTTACTGTGTGGCATCCTTTTCTTTCAGCCTACTGAACTTTAGCATTTCTTGTAAGGAAGGTCTAGTAGCAACAAACTCCCTCAGTTTTTCTTTATCTGAGATTTCCTGGATGTAGAATTCTTGCTTGACAGTTTTTTCTTTCAGCTCTTTAAATGTGTCATTCCACTGTCTTTGACATGTATGGTTTCTGATTAGAAATCAGCTATTAATCTTATTGAGGAGCCCTGCTGTGATGAGTTGCTTCTCTTTTGCTGCTTTCAACACTCTTTTTGTAATTGACTTTCAACACTTAGATTAAAATATGTCTGGATGTGGATTTCGAGTTTGTTGAGCTGCTTGGATGTTAGATTTATGTCTTTTATCAAATTTAAGAAATTTTTAACCATTTCTTCATATATTCTTTCTGCCTCACTCTCTCCTTTCCTTGTGGGACTCTCCTGTCTATATGATGGTACACTGGATGGTATCCCACAGATCTGTTAGACTCTGTTCATACTTCTTCATTTTTTTTCTTGCTGCTGTTCAACAAAGTAGATAATCTCAATTGGCCTATCTTCAAGTTCATGGATTCTTTTTTCTGCCTGCTCAAATCTCTTGTACCCCTGCAGTGAATTTTTTGTTTCAGTTTATTGTACTTTTCAGCTCCAGAATTTTTAGTTCTTTTCCATAATTTCTCTTTCTTTACTGATACTCTCTATTTGAGGAGACATTGTTCTTCTGTTCTCTCCCCCCACTTCCCACCCCCATGGTTTCCTTTAGCTATTTGAGCATATTTAAGACAGTAAAAAGTCTTTGTCTAGTAAATCCAGTGTCTGGGTGTTTCTCAACAATTTATATTTAATTTTTTTTTCTTATGAATGGGCCATATTCTTTTTTTGCATGTCTCATAAATTTTTGTTGAATACTGGACACTTTTGAATACCAGACAATTATTTCTTTTGTCTTTTTCTTGTGATCCTTGGCTTTTTATTCACATTTAAGAATGTGACACTGAAAAGCTACCTAGTTTGAGTATATACATTTATGATTTACAATCACCATTCATAGAGTGATTAGGTAGAGGTGTTTCAAGGAGAACCATCAATTGTCAACATTTACAATTTGGCTGCCAGTGTTCTAGTAGTGTTCTGAACACTGGAAAGGGAAGCTGGGATTTCTCATTGTTAACTATGCATACCTTCGTTTGATCCACTTGTTTCTTTGTATGTGTATTCTATGTTTTGTTTTTTTAATTTTTTTTAATGTTTATTTATCTTAGAAACAGAGCATGAGCAGGGGAAGGGCAGAGAGAAGGGGAGACACAGAATCTGAAGCAGGCTGCAGGCTCTGAGCTGTCAGCACAGAGCCCAATGCAGGGCTTGAACCCATGAACTTCAAGATCATGACCAGAGCTGAAGTCAGAGGCTTAACCAACTGAGCCACCCAGGAGCCCCTGTTTTAACTTTTTAAATTACATTTTTAGTTGAAGTATAGTTGACATTCAATATAATATATATTAGTTTCAGGTGTGTAACATAGTGATTCATTAGTACACATAGCGTACATAGTGTATGTACAGTGCTCGAAGTGTAGTTACCATCTGTCACCATACAAAGCTATTAAAATATTATTGACTACATTCCCTGTGCTCTACTTTATAACCGTGTGACTTATTTATTTTATAATTGGAGGATTGTACCTCTTAACCCCCTTGAACCCTTTGATCCCTTTGTTTTTAATGCACCATCTGTCTCAGATTCCAGAGCCACTTTGGCTCATTGTCTCCAGAAAGGTAAGGGACTTTTCACCACATATCCTGTTTTCAACTACTGTAGTTAGTACCTCTGACTTTCAGAGTCTTATGTTTTACTAACTGAGCTAGCAGGGCTACTTGACTTTAAAGGTATTTTTGCTACTTCCATTCCCTGAGTCTGAAGCACAAATTAGCTTGTTTTTCATTGGCTTTTCTCTTAAGCTCCTGTTTCAGTTTAAGCTTCCTGAATCAGTTAACCACCCTACTACTAACCAGCCTACAGTTAACCATCTACTTTTCATATTTTGAAATATTATCATCTCTTTAGTGATATTAAAACCCTCCCCTATTTTTTCTATTCTCTTTTATCTTGTGGGTTTATGCCCATTTTAATCCTTTATTCACGTTTAGAGGGATTTTAGGAGGAAGAGATATTAACATGTTATTCGGTCTGTCCTGTTCTAAAAGGACTGTCTGAACTTCAACATGGAATAGGACATCACAAAGGAAAAAGGCTAATTTGACCACTGGAAAAAACTGTGACATTTATGTATAACAAAAACAAGATTATTAAGAAGTATATAGCAGACTGGGATATATATATATATAACCGATATGACATAGGATAATACTCATAGTATATGAAGAATTCAAATACAAATATATAAGAAAACACTAGCTCCAAAAGGTAAATGGGCCAAGTATACAAAGAGGCATTTCACAAACACACACAAATCCCTAATTTTCAGTATCACTAGCAGACAAAAATACATACTAAACAAGTTTGCATTTTTTAACTCCTATAGAAATATGTGTCTGTGTGTGTGTACAGATGAAAATGGGGAAAGATAGCCATTTTCTTGGACTAAACATGTCAGTGTAAATTGGAATAGGTATGGAGGAAAACAGTTTGGGGTTATGCTTAACTATCATTTGAGTTTGAAATTCTTCTTACAAATTAGAATTTCTCCTAAACAAACATTCCAAACTGTGCAGAAATGATACACGTCATATTTGGAATATCACTAACTAGTTGGAATAACTAACACTGATAGTGCCTTTACTGTGTGCTACAGGAACCGGGCTACAAGTATTTTACATACATTAATCTCATCCTCACAACAACCTTATGAGATAAATACTGTTTTTGTCTTTGAAAACATTGAGGCCAGATAGTGAATGAACAGGTGTGGAGCCCCAAATCTGATAAAAAATGTTTTTCTCTTTAACTGTCATGCTCACAGAATTTTCTGCTACTATATGTTGCTTCTCTAAAGATGAGGGAAAATAAGCATTGTTTTTGATGTTTTAATAATATAAAATCCAACTGTAGTAAAATAGCTAACTTTGCAGACGGTGGCACTTTTATATGAGTGATATGCAGCCATTAAAAATCATGTTTTAGAAGAATATTTAATGATAAAATACTTGTGATTAGAAGAATGAGAAGACCTTAAGTATAATGTTTTTAAATTATTTTTTTGAATTTACAGTTGATGAAAATATGTAAAAAAATTTTTTTAATCATTGTGAATGGATTACATGCATTTATTAATTTTCTTTTTGCCTTTTAAATCTTTGAAATTTTGAATATGTATAATTATTTAAGTCAGATTAAGTGTTCTAGTAATCATTTCATTTATTAATTTAATGATGTAGAAATGCTCATATTTCTGGGAGAAAAAGCCACTTGTGATTTTAGCAAGGTCTTAATTTTGTCTTAGAAAATATATTGATGGAAATAATGTAGAAATACTAACATTGATATTATCCTAGGGAGATATGCTTGAGAATAAGCTTTTTCTTGTTATTCATTACTCTGTGTCTTCAAAATTTTCTACTACAAGTGTTTGTTTTTGTCATCAGAAATAATGTAATATTTTAACTTGGAAAATAGTCTTTACTTTTTTTTTTCTTTTATTTTTAGACATTTGAAGATAGTGATTTGTTCCATTTGATTGGTGTTATCTGTGGATTAGCAATTTATAATTTTACTATTGTGGACCTCCATTTTCCTTTGGCTTTGTATAAGAAACTGCTGAAAAAGAAGCCATCCTTGGATGATTTGAAGGAACTAGTGCCTGATGTTGGGAGGTTAGTTGTAAAAAGTGACAAGGATGGAGTGTAGGTAATAGAGAATGAGAAATGTACAGAAAGCTTTCCTTTTAGGAATAATTGTATTTTGTGCTTGTTGAATTTCCAAAATAAACAAAAACCCTTCTCATATTGGAGAACTCGTGGTGTTACCCAGATCAAAATTTTCTACTGAAAGACTTCTGTGTATAAAACCATTCCCTAAATTTTTAGTAATTTAACAATATTTTACAAATATCAGATAATAAACTTAGGAGGGCAATGTTTCCTGAGAATAGTTAAATGATTTACTTGGACTTCTGATTACTTTCATTCCTAGCTGGAATACGTAAAGTTTCTTATTTATTACATAAAATGGAATAAAAATTGTATATGAATAAGAACAAATGTTAAAAATGGCTGGACACATGGCCTTTGTATTTAGAAGAGATAAAAACCTTAGAGTGATTTATTTGTTCCTTCAAAATTGTTCATTAGCTTGCCATTACACATCTACCATTCTGAAACAAATACAAGAGTACAGATTCATAAAAGGATTTTATCAAGAATGAATGAGAAATATATATTTATCCATAAGCAAAACAGTCAAAATACCCAGTAATGTTTTACCTCAAAGAAAAATGTATGTTGTTTTGCAGAAGCATGCAACAATTACTGGATTATCCAGAAGATGATGTCGAGGAAACATTTTGTCTTAATTTTACGGTAAGATGGAAAGACCTAGAATAACCTGATTATTCTTCATCCCTGCCTTATGGTTTTTGTTTCTTTTATGTTGACGAGTGGAATTCTTAACCCTTTAGCTAACATTTATTGAGCATTAACTGTTTGCTAGTCATAGTACGTACATTATTTCATTTAATCCTCATAACAGTCCTATGAGATTGGTATTATCCTTATTTTACAGATGAAGAAAACTGAAAACAGTCATTACATGTCAGAAATAATATTTATACCCAGGTCTGTGACTTCAGAGCCTAGTGTTTTATCATTATGTTAAAGATCTTTACAAATACAAGAAGACCTCTTTATTCAAGTTTTCATTTTTGAGTCTGCAGTTAATTACAAGAATCTTTAGAGAAGCAAAAGTTACTATACATTAGAAAATTCAGTAATGAACTTACCACTTAAAAGATTAATTCCTACTCAGACATCCCTTTTTGCTTACATTAATATTTGTCCTTGCCTATTTACCTTACTGTTGAATGACATACCACAGTGCAAATGCAAATACGTTGGAATGATACTTAGAAAAAGAAATTGCAAATCTTACCAAAGATACAGAATTTTGTTAATTTAGTGAAAGGGATGTTGAATAACTTATCCATCCACATGCAAAGCCCTTGACAAACAAGGATCTGGCAGAAGTAGACCAGTTGACAATTAAAGATGAGAAAATCAGCAAGGATTGTGACAAAGCACTCCAGAATGGAATGGTTTAAATGTTGTTAATTAGACTCTTGTGAAAATGGTAAAGCCTTTGGTCTTCTTTCTTTTTGTTTTTAAAAACTTTGTGTATTTGTTTTTCCCCCAAATAGTCCCCTTTATGATCTTGTGGTCAAATCTGACAGATACTATATTCTCCTATCCCACAATTTTCCAAAAAAATGATGTGCCCCGTCAAAAAAGTTTACCCATTTCTTGATCATTTTAAGAATTGGCACATAGTACAATTTTAAGAAAATTTGGCTAAAATGAAATAAGTGAATTTATTTTAATAAATAATGGTTGAATGGTTGGTTTCCCAGTGGTTTGATTCTTTAATTCAATTTCATTTATAAGAGAATCAATTATCTTTGAATTTTTATTGATTATCTCAATGGACTGAAACTTTGGGTTCCAAGCAATATAATTTCTAATTTGTCAATGCCAAGTTTGTGAATGCTGTAGTATATTCAAGAACTATGGTAATTTAAACATTCCTTCCCACTGCCATTTCTTTTCCAGAAATTTTCAGTGAGTCTTTATTGCTTGCATAATAATAGCTTTAGATGGGCTTCAGAGTCTTATTTCTAATCTGGCTTTCTTTGTAACTTACACTATATTCCTCCATTAATAGCAAGTTTTATCATGTCACACAGTATTCTCTCATGTACTTTATCTTCCTGTTTTTTAGGGCCATACGTTTTCAGAATTTGATATTTACTGTCCTATGTATCCTGTCCAGTCTCTATGCTCAGTCAGAAATTCCATCCCCTCTCAATCTTTGAGGGCCCTACTCATCCTTCTAGGTGCTTTTCAAAGGATATTTCTTCCTCAAGGTCTTTCATACTTCCTCCAGTTAGAGAGTGTTCTTTCCTCTGTGGTTTGATAGCATTTTGTTCATGTCTCTATTACAGCATTTATTTTAAGAAGTTGCTTATATATATAACACATTTCTCCTCCTTAACTAGATAGTAAATTCCACAGCAGGGATTTATTCATCTCTTATCTCAACCCCACCGTAATGTTTTATAGATAGCAGGTACTAAAAAAAAAAATGTTTTCATAGAAGAGGATAATATTCCAAAAAGAGGGAATAGAAGGAGAAAAGATACAAAGCTGGGAATGGTAATACTTATAGGAAAACTAGCAGACTAGTAAAGCAAATAAAAAGTTTCAAAATAACCAGCTATCTTTATAAACCAAATCGTGCATACTGGAAAAACCATGTATGATCAAGAATGCAAACAAGACAGGAATATAACAGTAGGAGCTGTCAAGTGAGAAGAATGCATGGCAGGTCTAGGCTGCATACATTTTGACTACCTGTATTCTGTTATATGTGCAAGGAAAACATCCTTTCTGATATTTTACTCCTGTAGTGATTGTTCTAAAGTCTTACACATAATAAATACTCCATTTCCTGTTCTAAACTAACCAAACATTTGGTAATTTGTAGTTAGTCACAGTAGGATTTCACACTACTACGGAGGATGAAAACTTCTAGTGTGGCTTTATTTAGAATTCACAAATAAGCTTATGGTAGTCACAGAATTTTACCTCAGCTTTTTATTCTTATATTTAATGAGAGAAAGGTAGACTATAATAATAGGTTATTAAAATCTAATAAGTTTTGAGTCTGACATTGACTTTTTTTAAAAATTTAAATTAATAGATCACAGTTGAAAACTTTGGTGCAACAGAAGTGAAAGAGCTGGTTCTAAATGGTGCAGACACAGCTGTTAACAAACAAAATCGGTAAGTGAATTATAGCAGCATCAGTGGTAGTAATAACTTTCCGTAGGCATTTTCTTCTGTATATAGAAACCTGTCACAGTCTTAAGTTTTTACTCAGGTAAAACTTACTTTTTGAATGGTTAGTAAGGAAGTAACTGCCTTTTGTTCCTGAAATCTCTTTAAGACATTAATAAAGAAATAAAAGATCATAACCAAAACAAAAAGAAGGGAGAGGAGACAACAGAAACCCATTTTTGGAAGCTAGAGAACAGGAGTAACTAACTAACTGGTCAACCAGAGACAGTTGCAACATAGGAAGGAGTCAAGAAGGCAGCCAGTTTTTATATTGCTTAACTGGGGCTCAGGCATTGAGAATAAAAATGTTAGAAAGTATATTGGGCTTAGGGGAATGCTGGAAATAGAAAGATTGCTGTTATGAAAAGCAGTTAAAAACCCATTTACCCATTTTCATTAGCACTACAATAGCCTGGCAACTTCCCTTTCTGGTCTAGGCAGAAGATTGGAAATTTACCTTCTGGAGAGATTGAACTAAAGGGACTTTGGATATTTTGAAGGGCGGGGGAGGCGCTGGGGGAAAGGGATACTTTAGATTTGAGTACAGTTAGGCACAACCAAGGGTAAGAGGCATACTGAAAACAAGTAGATTGAGTCTACACTTCCCTCTCTTTGGCACTGTGTGCTGGAGGATTCTTTGGGTAAACTGCCTCACTCTTAAGTATGAGTAGATAGCCAAAGATCGATGGACGTTTAAGGAAAAACCAAAACCATCGAATGCCAAGGAAACAGAAACAATGCAGGATGAAGAAGAAAACTTCAAAAGAAAATGAAATCAGTATTCTTAAAATGATATAGATTAAAAATTACTTAAAATTCAAAAAAGTTGAATTAAAAATTGAAAAAAAAAATCACTGAAAGACATTTGTCAAATAAATGGTACCAAAAAACTTGCCAGAACAGAATGACATGCTTTCTTAAAAGACATGCCTTTAAAATTGAAAGCATGGAAAGTTAAAAAAAAAAAAAAAAAAAAAAAAAAAAAAAGACATACTAAGGCAAAAGAGAACTTTCAAAATCCTAGGAGAATAAAGATTCCTAAAACCTTCCAGGAAAAAAAAATATACTGACCATATACAAAAAAGAACCAGAATAACCTCAAACTTTTCTAAAGAATGACACTGAAGCTGGGAGATCAAAATTCTGGGGAAAGATGATTTTTTAACTTAGAATTTTGTATCAGAACTGTCAAGTATGTGCATGTATATAAAAACATCTCCAGGCATCCAGAGTCTCAGAGAATCTACTTCCAGTGCATTTTTCTCAGGAAGTTACAGGAGGATGTGTTCTACCAAAACAAAGAATTAAACCAAGAAAGAGAAAGACACGGGATCAAAAAAAAAATACAATCCAATCTAGAAGAGAGGCAGAGGATTTCTTCTGCAGGAACAGCAGTGTGTAGAAGGTTTAGGAAAAAGCAGCCGATGTGGGTTAGATCAAGAGGATGGAGGCTCCAGGAGGGCTGTCTCCAGGAGAAAAATGCAGCTTTTGCTCCCTTACGTAGTTGAATGAATCTAAAGAGATTGACATTTCTGTTAAAGTGAGGGATGAAGTAGCAAATTAAGGGAAGCAAAAGTTGTGGTTTTTTTTTAAATTTTTTAATGTTTATATTTGAGAGAGAGAAACAGAGGCAAGAGGGAGGGAGCAGAGAGAGAGAGGGAGACACAGAAGCAAAAACAGGCTCCAGGTTCTAAGCTGTCAGCACAGAGTCTGATGCGGGGCTTGAACCCACGGACCCATGAGATCATGACCTGAACCGAAGTCGGACGCTTAACCGACTGAGCCACCCAGGTGCCCCAAACAAAAGTTCTTTTTAAGGAAAGGCAGGTAATAAAATATTCCAACTTAATTGTGAGCGATATTTATGATCATAAAAATGTCAACAGTGAACAGTGAGCCAAAAATTGTTATAATGGGAGCTTTAGGGGAAACAAAGTGAGAGAGGGATAATTAAAAATAAGGTAAATCCTCACCTTCCACAATAGGTATTCAGTTCATTAGATTATATTTAAAATTGAAAATTAAGGAATAACATAACTATGTTGTTGAAATTTGAAGGTAAATATCAGAAGTAATAGCGAAAAGTTAAGTTTATTTGCCTTCAGATATCAGGAATTTCTAATGGAAAGGAACAAGACAGAGAACTGCTTTGTTCTCTTCTATGGTGTTACAATTCTTTAGACAAAGCTAGTTTATTGGCTGTTGCCAGGAGCTTTATTCAAATGGCTCTAATTCTGGTTCTGCTACTTAGTAACTGTGTAACTGTAGGTAAATTAGTCAATGTCTCCATGCCTCAGTCTCCTTTTCTGTAAAATGGGATGATAGATTGTACCTATTTCTTGGAGTTATTTTGAGGATTAAATGAGGCAATAATTTTAAGATGCTTAAAATAGTGCTTAGCACATGTACGTGCTCAGTAAATGTTGGCTGTTAGGATTATTACTATTTGACATTTAAAACTGTGTGTATGTCTTACTTTGATAAAAATAAACTGTTTTTAAAATAATGTGAAAGTATTTAGGTCTTTCTAATTATCCTTTCTTTAAAAAAATCTTGGTTTTGAAAACTGATTTAGAAAGGTTTTTAGCCTACTATTAAAGTATTATGTTAAGTTTTTTAATTTAGTTAATAATTTAAAGAATTTTTATCTTTGTACTACCAATGCTAGATAAAGTGTTGAAGATAAAAATATTAGCACATAAAGCAATTTAGCCTTTTGTGCTTAAAGCAGATAAATTTCTAATACAGATAAATTTCACTTTCTAATTAGACGAATTATAAAATTATGCATTACAAAATTATCTGCCTCTTTTCATCAGAAACTAATAGCATATGTTATTGATTTTTCCTTAGGCCCACCCAATTTTATATTGACCCCCTTTAACCTTCTTTTTTCTGTTTATAAATTCACTTTGAAATTATTTTATAATTGCTAAGAAGATAATTTATCTATAGATAACTAAATTTGCCAGTATTCCCAGAATTATCCTTTTGAATTTGGAGGACTGGAATATAAAATATTGAAATACCCCTGGTACACATTCTCATAATTTGTTTGACCAGATAGATAGCTGCATAAAATAATTGTGGCTAACAGAACAAATTGAATAAAACTATAGTGCTAATTCCTGGGTAAAGGGACTTTTGTTTGTTTGTTTATAGTTTACTTTTGTATCATAACAGGCAGGAAAAGACAGCAGAAGTGTTTGTTATATATATGTGTGTGTACTTATATGTATATGCACATACTTCTGAAAAGAAATGGCACTTGTAATCTTTTAATGAAGTGCTTAATAACCCTTTGAGGTATTCATTCATTTATTTCTAAGAGAGAGAGCATGCAGTGAGCAGGGGGAGAGGCAGAGGGAGAGAGGATCTTAACCAAGCTCCATACCCAGTGCAGAGCCGATCTCATGACCCGAGCCAAAATCAAGAGTCACTCACTTAACTGACTGAGCCACCAGGAGCCCCTGAGATACTTAGTTTTTAAAATAAATTTTGTTGGGGCGCCTGGGTGGTGCAGTCGGTTAAGCGTCCGACTTCAGCCAGGTCATGATCTCGCGGTCCGTGGGTTCGAGCCCCGCATCAGGCTCTGGGCTGATGGCTCAGAGCCTGGAGCCTGTTTCCGATTCTGTGTCTCCCTCTCTCTCTGCCCCTCCCCCGTTCATGCTCTGTCTCTCTCTGTCCCAAAAATAAATAAACGTTGAAAAAAAAAATTAAAAAAAAAAATAAATAAAAAAAAAATAAATTTTGTTGGGGTGCCTGGCTGGCTTCATCAGTAGACCATGTGACTCTTAATCTTAAAGTCGTGAGTTCAAGCCCCACATTGGGTATAGAGCCTATTTAAAAAAAAATAAAAATGTGTTTTCAGATTCCTTGAAACCCAACGAAAAACAGGTAGACTGTTGTCTGTCAAATAGTCTGTATCCCAAAGCTCTCATTTTTTCCATCACCTGGTATTTTTAACAGATGACTCTTTTTAGGGATGCATTTGAAGTGGTGCATATAAATCTCAATAATCTGTGAATATTTAAAAATTATTTTGATAGACATTTGTGTCCCTTTAGGAAATGACATTTCACCTTGGAATAGCCTTCCTAATTAGGCTATGAATGATAGATGAAGTCTGCATGCCTCCTAGATAATACTGGATTTTTATACAGAAAGAATAATAAACTTCTCTATAAAGACTTTGTCCACTTAGGGGTGCCTGGGTGGCTCAGTCGGTTAAATGTCCAACTTCGGCTCAGGTCATGATCTTGTAGTTCGTGGGTTTGAGCCCCGTGTCAGGCCCTATGATGACAGCTCCGAGCCTGGAATCTGTTTCAGATTTCAGATTCTGTGTCTCCCTCTTGCTTTCTGCCCCTCCCCCGCTCATGCTCTCGCTCGCTGTCTCTCTCTCTTGCTCTCTCTCTCTCTCTTGCTCTCTCTCAAAAATAAACATTAAAAAAAAAAAAAAGGCTTTGTCCACTTAGAATCCTGCTTATACTTTCTCAGTTTTATAGCTAAGTAGCAAAAAGTACACGAGATCAAACTTTTAATAAGACTGCATATGTGTTCTCCATAAAAAATTATTTTTATATTCTGTGCCATGTGTGCCTTTTCATTTCTAGGCAAGAGTTTGTTGATGCTTATGTGGATTACATATTCAATAAATCAGTGGCTTCCTTGTTTGATGCTTTTCACGCGGGCTTTCACAAGGTCTGTGGAGGAAAGGTCCTTCAGCTCTTCCAGCCAAATGAACTACAAGCAATGGTTATTGGAAATACAAATTATGATTGGAAGGAACTGGAAAAGGTAAGGGAAAACAAATCTATGAAATTGTCTCAATGGAAAGGCAAAAGGAAAATGTGGTTTATTGATAGAAAAATTGCCCTCTTGTTTATTGTTTTCCATTTTACACTATTTATTAGTCATATTTATAGGAAAGTACTATATACTTCCTACTCCACAGTGAATGAATTTAGTTGTATATGAATTAGATACCATTTTTGTATTTGTGGTATTGGTAGTTTTCTTATGGAAAAATGTCATTTATGACAGAGATCAGATAGAAGTCCCAGCTAAAACTGAGTTTTCATTCTGCCCAATCATAAAACCATTATGAAAAACATTCACATTACTTAACACCTTTGTTTATTTTTTTTTTTCTGCTTACTCTCAATGCTAAATTTTTTTAGCAGAGAATAAATAATATTTATGATATCCATTATTAGTGTTAGCCAATAAAGGGATCTTTGGGGAGAAGATTGGGAATTTTTAAACAACTTTTTTCTTTTCTTTCTCTTTACCAATCATTCTCAGATATTTCTTCAGATAAACATTGAATAAAAAGTGCTAGGTTAGATCAGCTTTGAGAAAGATATATGCAAGTTTGACCTATAAAATTTTCTGTCTTTGTAATCCAACTCTGATACAGTTTTTTTGCATTAATAGTTTAATACTATGTACCCATTAAGTTAGCTAACAAGTCTAACAAGGATACAAAGCATTGGTAACTTTCATGCATTGCTGGTGGGAATACAGATGGTATAGCTACTTTGGAAAGAGTTTGGCATTTTCTTGCAGGGTTAAATATGCACTTACTACATGACCTAGCAGTTCTACCCTAAGGTATTAAGTTACATTCACACAAAATCTGTAAATAGGAGGGTATGGGATGTAATTGTTTGAGTACAGAGTTTCAGCTTAGCAGAATGAACAGTTCTGGAGATGCATGGTGGTGATGGTTGTGTAGCCATATGAATGAACTTAGTACCACCAAACTGTACACTTAAAATGGGTTAAGATGGTAAACTTTCTTACAGGTATTTGACCACAACTTTTTTTAATTATGTTTTTAAAACTCTGCAAACATGTCAAAAACTAGAAACAGCCCAGATGTCCTTCAGTGAGTGAATGGATAAAGCAACCTGGAGTACATCCATACAGTAGGGTACTACTGAACAATAAAAAGGGATGCACTACTGATACGTGCAACAACTGGGATGACTCTTAGATCCTTATGCAGAGTGAAGAAGCCAGTCTCAAGGATTACATACCATATGATTCCATGCATATGACATTTTTGAAAAGGCAAAACTATGGTGAACTGGATATATGACTGTAGAGAGTAGCGCAGGAGAGTTCTTGGGGTGACGGAAGTGTTCAGTATCCTGATTGTGGCGGTAGGTACACAAGTCTATCCATAGAACTATACCCACACTGGAAAAAAGTCAATTTTACTGTGTATTAATTTAAGGAATAAATTTTTTAATTTAAAGAATAATTAGGACTTCTGGTTGAACATACTACAGTAAACACGTTTGCTCCTTTCCAAAATCTCACTAGAATAATAATAAAGGAATAAAAATAGGAATACACAGACAGAAAAAAATATAAAAGTACCATGAACAAGAGAAAATAATTTTGGAAGATGGAAAATATGTGGATGAGTTGTTGAGTGACTAGAGCAAAGAAATTTGAATTCTAAGCCTCCTGAGGGACAGAGGTTTTAAGAGACAACTCATTTCACAGCATAGAAATTTTAAAAGGCTCAGGAATTGGTACATGGTCTTGCTGTAGTAGCAGATTGTGTGGTTAGGCTAAAAGCAATAGAGTTACTTCAAAGCTAATTTAAAGAATTGTAGACCCCTCAGCTTCTCTATCCTACCCAGGAGACAAGTCTAGAGAAGACCACAGAATCTGGGAAACCAGGTGGAACTGAGGAAAGTTGGTAGGCAAGTTTATATCCTCCAGGAAAGAGATTAAAAATTTATTTTTTGGGGTAAATTGATCTGCTAAAGACAAGAAAGCTGTACTGATTTTAAGGAGACCCCAGTAGAAATGGACTCCACCTCCAGTCATCCTAAAATAAAAATGATGTAATGGCCTCCAGTCACACTTAGCATCCCACACAGTTTGTCCTTTTTGCCCCATCTCCTATGGTTCTTCCTCTCACTCGCATTGCTTCAGTCTTTATGGCCTCTTTGCTGAACCAGTCTTGAGGACTTTCTGTTTTGCTGTTCCCTGTGCCTGGAACTCTTTTTCACCTTGATCATTCCAGATGCTTCTTGCTCTTACTTCCTTTATGTCTTTATACTTTCTCAGAGACTTTTACTGGCTAACTTACCTAAAATTGGATATGTGCACACACACTCCCACTCCCACACCCTGTCACCCTTCCCTGCTTTATTTTCTCTTTGAACTTGACAATTTTACTTAATGGTCTTTACTGTCTGTTGCTGTTTTCCCCCACAACAATGTAAGCACCATGAAGGCAGGGTTTTTGTTTCTCTCTTCACTGCTATATTCCCAGAGCCTAGAAGAGCACTAAGTACTTAAAACCATGTCTGAAGATATAATTGATAGAAATAATCATTTAGTAAGATGGCTTTTTTTTTTTTTAGTATATTTTAGTGTACTTAATATGCTTGGTTTCTTCCATTGTATACCTGATTCATTATAATTTCAGTGACTAGGATTTGTGGCTTTAAATGTTCTTTCTTCATCAGGACTGTGTACACACTCCCCAGAACCATTTAGAGGTTTTTTAATTAAAAAGAAAGATAAAAAACTTTAACCATGTTCCTTTCATTCCCCACTAATATGCTCATAGTCTATAATTCATAGTCATTAATCCATTAATTGATTGCTAGAATTTCAGCCATTTTTTCCAGACCTGTTTATAAGTAAATAGAAAGTATCGAGTAGATTTCAAGAGTTCAGTCATTGAGATAACCATGGCTACAAATAGAGCCCAAAATTTAAGAAGACCATTAGTAAATACTTGTTGAGCCCCTATGGATACCTAATACTATGCAAGAGATTAGGGAGATATCAGTAAATAAGGTTGAGACATGGTCTTTGCCCTATAATAAGGAAAGTGGACATTAATTTTGGTGAATACTAAGGAAGAGAGTTCAGTGAATGGTATATAAAGAGGAACTTAACCTAGGCTGTACAAATCTGGGAAAGCATCTCAGTAGATGGTAGTAAGGTACTCTACAAGGTAAGTAAGGACTTGGTTCACTGCAGTTTCCCCAAGACTCCAAATTTTGACTGAAACTCTCTCTATATATATGTTGAATGAATCACTTAGTGAATTTGGTGACATTTAATCTGAGTCCTAAAGGATAAATAGAAATTAGCCTGATGAACAAATAAAAAAAGGAGGATGTGTCTAAGTGGTCTAGGCTGAGGGAACAGTGTCCAAAGGCCCTGATACTGGAAGATTCTTGTTAAGAACTAAAAGTTAAGGCCAATCGTGGCTGGATTTTAAAGAACACTTTACAGTGTAATATTCCCTCTCCCCTCCCTACCCCCTTTTCTGTTAGTGCTAGTTTGTTTTTTGTTTTTTTTTTTGTTTTGTTTTGTTTTTGAGAGAGAGAGTGAAAGAGAGATAGAAAACACTAGCAGGGGAAGGGCAGAGGGAGAGGGAAAAAGAGAGTCCCAAGCAGGCTCTGCTTTGTCAGAGGGCTTGATCCCATGAACTGTGAGATAATGACCTGAGTCTAAATCAAGAGTCAGACACTCAGTCCTTTAAGCCACCCAGAGTTTCCAGTGCTAGTATTTTTTTTTTTTTTAAGGAGAAGTGTATTAGCTCTGTTGGTACAGATGACCCCAAAATTCAGTGGCTTAAAAGTAACAGTGAACATTTATTTTCTCACATATTTTCAGTGGGTCAGGAATTCAGAATGGCTTTAACTGGATAGTTTTAGCTTAGGCATCTCTCATGAGGTTTTCATGCAGTTAAGATACTGATTGGTGCTTTAGTCATCTGAAGGCTTGATTAAGGATAGATTCCCTTCCAAGATGGCGCACTCATAAGACCATTGGCTAAAAGCCTCGTGTCTCACCATGAAGACCATTCCATGGTGCTCTTTGAGTATCCTCATGACACCTGGCTCTCCCCACAGTGAATGATCAAAAAGAGATTGCAGCCATAGAGTTTTTTATGATCCAGCCTCAGAAGGCATGTATTTCTCATACCTGCAGTATCCTAATGATTATACAGTCAGGCCCATACACTGTGAGAGGGGACTGCACAAGCGCATGAGGAACAGGAGGCACAGAGATCATTGGGAGCCATCGTGGAAACTGACTACCACAGAAAATTATTGTCCTTAGTACTTTTTTTTTTTTTTTTAAGTAAAGATAGAATGTAAAGTAAGTGATTTCTGTTCATGAATATAGGAAGAGAATTTTATAATTATCACAGATAACTAATTCTTTGTTGAACTTTAATGCATTTACATTTTAGTAATTCTAGTTTATCCTTTAGATATTTACTTTTGAAGATAATACAACCCTGTTGTATTCTTTGAAGTGGTGGGGAGACATTTCTGCTGATTGGAACATTTTCTTGCCTTTCCCTAGAACTAACAGTTCCAAATTGCAAAATGCCCAGGAAATAGTAGGTAATCAGCTGAATTGCATGAGTTTCAAAATCCTGGAGTGTTAGCTTTTGTGCTAATAAGAAGGCCAGTCTGTTAGATTCAAGACAAAACTAACATCCTTTAATATTAATGAAGGATTATGTTGTTTTTAGAATACAGAATACAAAGGGGAGTATTGGGCAGAACATCCAACGATAAAAATATTTTGGGAAGTATTTCATGAATTGCCGTTGGAAAAGAAAAAACAATTTCTGTGTAAGTATTTCTAACTAGTCCTATGTTTTATAGGAAATAGAATTCACAAACATTTTCATAGATTAACTGATTGACTTTGTTGGATAAAGTTTTTCCTTTTAGTAGTATTGCAGGGTACTGCTTTTAATTTTCAATTAGAGTAAATTTTTGACCTGCATTCTTCATTTTATGTCTTTTCTTATTTTGAAAGCTACATTCAGTTTGCCTCCAAAATAGAATTGGTTCTTTCAAATGAAAAAACTATAAATGATTACAGTAAACTGGGGCTGAAATTCCTTTTAGAATTTCTAAAAGGTTTCTGGAGGATAGCTTTTTTTTTCATTCAGTCTTTTTTGCTTACGTGTCAAAACTTTGGGAATTCTGTAGAAAATAGAACTTTGCCAGGATGTAGTACTTTTTAATACCTAAGCTCTGTTTGTCTTACATGTGTTAAATTTCTATTCTAATTGAAATTTGTATTCCCTTTGATACTCCTGCTATTGCCAGGAATATTTTGTCAATCTCTTTTTTGGTAGTTGTAATGAGAATCTTGGTAAAATTATTTTGTATATTTTAAGGATGACAGGCTGTTCTCAAGTGATTTGAGTTTCAAGTTTATTTATTTAGAGAGAACACAATTTGGGGAGGAACAAAGAGGGAGAGAGAGAGAGAGAGAGAGAGAGAATCCCAAGCAGGCTCCTCTCTGAGCGTGATGCAGGGCTTGAACTCACAAACCGTGAGATCCTGACCTGAGCCAAAACCGAGAGTAGGACGCTTAACCAACTGAGCCACCCAGGGTGACCCAAGATTACACACTTTCTTAAAATATTTATTTTTGAGAGCATGCACAAGCGGGGATGGGGCAGAGGGGGGCGGATAGAGGATCCAAAGCAGGCTCTGCACTGACAGTGGAGAACCTGACGTGGGGCTCAAAGTGATGAACCGTGAGATCATGATCTGAGCCAAAGTCAGATGCTTAACTGCACCACCCAGGTGCCCCAAGATTACATTTTTAAAGAAAAAATATTGTATGGATATGTAATATGTAGGTCTCAAAAATCATGCTATCATAAATTCTGGAGATCGGCTTCTACGTTAGAGCAAATGTTAATTAATGTAAAGGTTTGCCATGGTGACTGTACCAAATAACTTAGTACTCTATATTATAGTTTTGATAAAAGTGGTTGGCTGAATGATTTTTTTCTTGGTAGTATTTTTGACAGGTAGTGATCGCATTCCTATTCTTGGTATGAAGAGTCTAAAACTAGTCATCCAGTCAACCGGAGGTGGTGAGGAATATCTCCCAGTTTCCCATACCTGTTTTAATCTTCTGGATCTTCCAAAATACACAGAAAAGGAAACTCTACGCTCTAAACTGATTCAAGCAATTGATCATAATGAAGGTTTCAGTTTAATATAACTTTGGAAATAGAACTGATCAGTTTATTGCAAAAGCATTAAACTAACTATTTGTGTTTTTCTTGTGGTGATGAGTTCAACAAGGTGACAAGAGGTACTATTATAATTCTTACTTGCAAAATGTTCAGTGCTATGAGTATTCATGAAAGCCAAAAAAATATTAAAAGGAATATGAACAAACTGTTAATATTAAGCTTATTGTACAGAACCATGGATTTTTTTTGCCATCTTCCAATAAACATACAAGTATTGTGAATACATCAAAGTTTTACTAACATGAATTTTAAGGGTTTGCATATTTCACAAATGATCTGGTGTGTGAGTGCATGGGTATGTTGCTTAATTTTTCTTCAATCACTGAGTGAAAAACCTTTACCTTTGGCCTGCAATAGTCATTCAATTATTTTTTCATTTTGTAAATAATGTTAAGTTTTGTAATAAAATAGTTATGTTCTGATACCAGTACAGTTTCTATGGTTGTAATTGAACTGAGCTGACTTTTAAAAGGATTAACAATTATGATTAAATCTTATTCTGATGATCTATAAAAGCAAAAAACTAGCATGATGAAACACAATCTTTGCTTTTTAACTAGAATAAATGTCCTTGTACAAAACTAAATTACAGATAGGAGTTATCTAACTTGTAGTTCTTTCCTTTTGTGAATCTGGAGATGCTACTGATAAAGGGCAGCTTAATCAGGAAGTTTAATAAGTATTTAGTATTGGAGGAACTTTGTCCTGCAGTTGCCAGGAATAGAACCTGGCTACTTTGAGAACCAACCACCGGCTTATAGCTTGCAGAACTTTTGATGCTACAGGTTGGTATTTAGACAGAATTTTCAGTGCTTTAGAACTCTCCTTGAATTTTTAGAAGCAGATCTTAACACAGTTTTATGGTGCTGATGCTTAGTTATCTCCTGTGATTAACTGTAACAGTGAGTTGATGCAACAACACATGTGACTTTCTGCTCTAATGCAAATATTTATTTTTTAAATTTATTTTAAAAAATGCCGTGAAAATTGTTTAAGTAATAAAGATTTATTGGTTTAATATTTAACCTTTCAGTGGTTCTCATAACATTCAAAATGTCTCAGGGAAGAGTCTTAAATTTTGGATTGAGTGTTACCATACCCATACAAAATTGTCTATTTCACAGAGGTCTCCAATTTTCTTAGCTATAACTCCAAAACCCAAAACAACTCTGGAAGAAAATTACATATCTCATTTTGCAGCAAAACTTGAATTGTTGAGGCTATTATTTATGGTATTAAATGAGACTGTATATTTTACTATGGTGATGTTAATAGGTTTGATTTTAATGTGTTTGATCTTAGGTACTGCCTCAGACCCTGTGGAGTGCTTTAAAAAATTCCATAACATGCATAATTCCAAAATGCAAATGAGTCCAAGGGTTTTGGAGAAGGGATTGTGGACCTGTACTTTTCAGTTTAACTTAAAAACGTCTACTGTTGAGCCATAGGTGTCTTTTTACAGATGGAAGCCCTTGAACAGCATTCTCATACATGATAAATTAGCTCAAAGTAGCACTCTTCCCTGTGAAAACTCTTCCATTTCCCTGGGCATCCATTTCTTTTTTTTCTTATTTATTTTGAGAGAAAGAGAACGTGAGCCAGGGAGGGGCAGAGCTACAGGGGAACAGAGGATCCAAAGTGGTTTCAGCAGAGATCCTGATGGGGGGCTTGAACTCACAAACCATGAGATAATGACATGAACCAAAGTCAGGTGCTTAACTGAGCCACCCGGCCACCCCCAATGTGCATCCATTTCTTGTGGGTAGTGATTGTTCACATTGAACACACCTAAATGTGTCAGGTGATTTTTTTTCTTCAGTAACCTTTATGCTATGTAGCTGATCTGTGAAATAGTGGCCACTTTGGACTAATACAGATGGATTTCATTGAACAATATTTTAACAAGGACCTGGCTGTCATCTTATCTAGGCACCTGCACAACAGTACAAGGCTTAATTCGGGTAAGTCTGATACTCTTTTCCTTTCTGTGTTGCTGCAGACATACAGTAAATAGCATTAACAGCAAGGAGATTAATGGTAGAAAATTAAAGTACCACTTAAAATTTTTCAAATTGCTATTTGCCTTTAAAAAAATATGAGCTTTGTAGATTAGAAAGTGGGCCAATACTGAGTTCACTAAATTATAAGGACTGTAATTATGGAGTTGACTAAACTTGAAAATATTTGGCCTCCGTACAGATCTATTCGTAAGAGCAATTGTTTGTAGCTCCTGTCTGGATTCAATAGTGATTTTAACCAATCGCCATTGTTCAGACTGACTGAGGTAGTAGAACGGAGACACACAATGCATGAAATAAAACCAGAATGCAGTTTTTGAAATTGGAGACTTCAGTTAAGTCCTGGCACTCTCCTAGGGTCCGCTCGTAAAAACCACTCATTAGGGTTAATTTCTACTAACAGACTTTTGGGCTTTCTTACAGTTGGTTTTTACTGCATGTAGTTTAACAGAAAGTCCTCAAAGTGTAACAGAGCAGTCTTCCCCTGAAGAGTGTGTGGCTAGTTGAGCGCAAGGGCAGATGTTCCTGTTCTCAGCCACTTCCCAACTGCCCAGCCTCTTGGGCACTTTAGCCATCCATATTCCTTATGGTAGTTTCCTTTACTAAGGAATTCACCCTATTTCATTAGCTCCTTATCCTTGCCAGTGTTTGCTAATTGGTGAACTGTCTCTCCAGAGAAATTGAGAATAGTCTGCTTGTTTCATAGAAGTCTACCTGCTTCCCTGTGAGGCCAGCCCCCCTGGAATGGAGTGTTACATGCAAAAGGGAACTTCCCTATTTTTCCTTTCTCAAGCCTTGCTATACTGTTAAATTACCTGGGGGTACTTTTTAAAAATAACACTATGCGCACAGGTCTCCTTATGCCAATTAAATGTTCTAAGAGCTGATGCCCAGGTTAGGTTACGTGTGTGTGTGTGTGTCTTAAAAGGCCACTTGACCATTTCTCCCTATTTCTGCTAGCATCCTAGCTTAAATATTTAGACTTTGTTCATTTCTGAGGAGAGGAAAGGTTATGGTGTGCATACACACACTCCCCTTCTGGTTACAAGTCTTAAGACTGCTTTCAAATAAAACTTCCCAAATAATGCTTAGTAGGTGGATGATATAAAACACCATTGATTGAAGGCACACCATTATTTCAGATACCATGAAGAACAATGCTAATTAAACCATCATGTGTCAATTAGGGTATTACAACCAGTGAAATATATACATTATTAACCAAGGAGACTATTGAATGCAAGGCTTAAAATTAGCTTGCACTTAGCTTAAGTACTTGAAATGACCACACAACCACCTTTTAAGGTCTGAACTACCTTCCCATTTTGTGCATATGTAGAATCAAGTCGCTGTTTCCATATTTTTACAACATCTGAGGAGGAGATTTTACAGGTAATTTTTCTAGTGCAAACAGGACATATCCAGGGAAGAGTACTATTTTAAAATTCACTTTGAAAGTTTGCTGGTGAGGAAGGCAGGAGACCTGAGAGGAGGAAACTGCCTGTCAAGACTTTACTCATCACATTTTTCTAAGAGGCATGTTCCTGGCTTCTTGACTAGTACTTTGTCCCTCAAGAACTTGAATGGACTAGTCTCCAGTCATTTTTGGTACACACATTCCTATGTTAAGACTTGTGTTACCTGTGCTTCACAGAAAACCTGGCTTTTATAGCACATACACTCTTGAGTTCACTACATTTCCACTATTCTCTACTGTCCCCCTATCCCGAAGTCCTGAGCCTATGTCAAGTCTTTCATCATAGGTCAAGTTCTTCTTAGGCCCTGCCTTGCCTCTCTCCCACCTTTGACCTAACAAAGGCTACTGGGCCTAGAATTGAAATAGTTTTGAAACTTTTGGTGGTGATGCACCAACTGCTACAACCAGCACTACCAGTGTTTGCTTCAGTATCGTTCTGGCTAGACTCTTGTAAGTTGAATGAAGAAGTAAGAGAGCATCTTAACATGGCCCTCAAAACTATACAAACTCCGTAAGATTTTCAAACTTTGTATCTTGAACAATGTAAGTTAACAGGAAAAAGTCAAATGACAATTTTAATAGACTTTAAAACAGTGTACAAGTATAAAACACTGGTTTTGTATTTCAAAAGTTGGAGGAAGATATCCAGTCATTCAACAGTCTACAAAACATATGCCAGTAGATTACATAAAAGACTATGTACAATATAAAAAGAGCTGAAAACAGTCTTCACTGTAAAAATAATTTAAAACAAATTTTTCAATTTAAAATATCATCTCTAGCACAAACACACATCATGCAAATGGAAAACTAAATATACTGCATTCTTTAGTGTAGCCAAATAAATTCAGACTGAAACATCTTTTAGGTAGGGAAATGGCCATTCAATAAAATTTCTCTCTCTGGCAGTAATGGTCCTAGCTGGGTATTTTATGCTTAAAGAACAGCTATATTTCAAACCCTTTTTTAAAATTGTAATAAATACTAAAGCAACATAGGAATACTTTATATTTGGGAATAATGTGGGGGGAAGGTCTGGAAAATAAATTGCTCTGTGCAATTTTATAAAGTATGAATTTTTTGAAAGGCTAGAAGCTTCTGCAGCTGAGAAAAGTTTGATCTCTAGTTTTAAGGCAGGCTAAGCTTTTAAATAAAGATGTTACAGGAACTAACTTCATTAACTATTCTGCTATTACAAGTTACATCATGTTCATCTCCATAATACTAGGCTAGCAGTTTGGTGTCTATTACACCAAATCCTCCCAACAGGAGACATGTACTTACTGGCTGAGTTATAATTAACATCTTAGTACTTTGGAACTGTAATCAGGGGCCTGTTGCTCTCCTCATTAGTGGAAAAGAAAAGCAGCAGTCCAAAATATTACACTCTTCCCAGTTGAAGTACCATTATTATAGATTCATAAGGGCTCTGCATATTCACATCTTGGCAGTTTAATACTTGTGGGAAAGA